GGGGTGGGGGGGGCGTCTTAATGGAAATTATACCGCGGCGATCTCGTCGCTATGCCGGAAGATTACGCCATAATTGCGTGTCCATGAAATTAATTACCCGCGCAACAGCCGCTGATGTTTGCGCAAATCACCTCTCGGCCGCAATATCTTCCGCTTTATTGCGGTCGGTGATGATCCGTCATCCCGGATTACGGGACGCTTATTAACGCCCCTCGGTTTTATTCTGCCAGCGAGGTGCCGCGAGTCTCTGCGCTCGTATGCGATCTCCATCATTACGCTCTTTGATTGTTTTTCTTCATTTTAGCTCCCGTAGAGATTGTAAAGGCAATCGGTTAACGGACTTGCTATTACCTGCTAATAAAGCTAAATTGGAGGAAATGGGCTGTTTTGAGTATCTATTGTTTGATATTCCTGGATATGCCTCTTAGAAAATAATCGTTGGCACTGCCGCTAAATCTGGTTGTGATACTTGTCATCAAGGTTATTACAGTACTAGCGATATACGTATCACGCGTGGAGTGTATTATTTTGCTCAAGTGACAGTGCGGTATAGAGGGACCCAATTCAGGTTCCTTGTGCTTCTGTCATTATTTAACCCCAAACCGGAGTTGCCATCCAGCGTGACGCTTTCAGACTCTAACGCTCACGGAAGAAATCGTACAGAAAATCTATATTATTCCATTGTAAATCTAAAATTAGCTACATCAAAAGCTTTGGGGTAGTTTGCAAACCCTACGAACTATAGTATTTGCAAGTTAAATCTATTACGCACATGTAAATGCATGTCCGGACTTGTCTCGAATTGCCAGTCAGCTGACCAAAGTTGCCAACCCTGCCAAGTCTTTGTCCCATGTTTCCTGAACCTGGTACTTACGTGCCACATTTTTTTTTCCTGTTCACCTGAAGATATAGAGGGCTTTCCTTGTGATAGAGCTGGGCAATCAGGAACTAACGAGAATTAACAGGAATGATCCCCAGAATCCTTCTACTTTACAGCCTCCAGAAACCTCCCTTCCCTCCCTGCTTCCTTTTCTCTGAAACAAACTAGCCTGACTTTTGTCCCTTAGATAGTTTAGGGTGCATGCTAGATCTGAATGAACTTAATAGATAATGTATTAAAAAACAGCATTTATGCAGCTGTAAAGATAGCGAATGTTTTTTTTTTTTTTAGTAGGGGAACTCGATTTATCCATAAGGGGTTTAGGGAATTAAAAAGGCACAAGCTTCTAATTATCAAAGGCTGAGGGGCCTTTTGGAGATGACTCACAGTCCAGACTGCGTGGCTCTCCTCAGCCCCGCCGTGAATATTCATGCAGCATGTGTTAAGCAGGGATATGGGGAGGCTGGCATTTAGCGGCGCGTCTGTCAGAATGTGGGGTCTGCGCTCGCATCAATTAGCCGTTCCTCCTCCGCCGCCATCAGAAATCTGCAGGTCGCCGTACTTGGCGTGGCCCCTCCCTGGCGGGGGACAGGGAAGTGGGTTCCTGATCAAACGGGTCCTCGAGGAACACTGAGGCCACCTGTGCTCGGCTTAGCTGGGACTGGCAATGTGACGTTCCTTTTTAGTGTTCCACATAGTAGGTTTCCTCAGAACAAGGCATGACCCCGAGCATTTACAGGAGGATGCTGGGAAGGCTTGTGGCGGCACACAAACACTCAACACCGGCTTAGTCTGAGCTCGGTGGCGTGTGGCTCAATGGGCTAAGCCTATGTGCCTGTAATCAGAAGGTCGCCGGTTCAAAGCCAGCCTCAGCACGTCTGCAGGCCTTTAACCCCCAGCTCCCTTGGCACTGCTATGGGTGGCTGCCCTTCACAGACAGCTTACTCTACAAAGAGCAAGTTTGGGGAGGCGAAAAGACAATTTCCCCAAGGGGATCAATAAAGTATCGATTATTATTACTACAAAGTGGGGTTACTGGCTTATCAGGGTAACTTGTCGGATTTAAGGTCTGGGCAAAATGTAAGTAAACGAATATGAAGTCCATTTATACTGTGGTACCTTAAATCTGACAAGTTTCCCCGATAAGCCAGTAACCCGTAACCCCACTTTCGTAGTACAGGCCACAGGTTCAGTTCTGTCTGACACAGAGGTAAGAGAATGGCAGCAGATGATCTTCATGTTTACCCCATTTCATAGCACGGCGTCATTATTCAGCATCATAATTCAGAGCTGCAGGGTTTCCATGGTGTGGAAGGTGGGGTGGGGTGGGGTAGGGCAGGCGCAGTGGAGGCGCAGTGGTTAGCACTGGTGCCTCACGCCTCTGGAGGCTGAGGTTTGAGTCTCTGCCCTGACTCTGTATGTGTGGAGTCTGCGTGTTCCTCCCGTGTCGTCGTGACGTGACGTCTCCTCCCACAGTCCAAAAACATGTTAGGTGAATAGGAGTTGCCAAATTGTCTGTAGGTGTGAATGGTGTGTGCCCTGTGATGGGTGGGCATCATCCTGGGTTATTCCCTGCTTTGTGTGTAGGACGATTCTGAGATGGGCTCCGGACCCTCACAACCCCGCACAAGAACAGAAAATGGATGGATAGGAAGCCTTGGGAGTACCATGTTACTGCAAAAACCTGAATACATGGCATTTCTTTCTTCTCCATAGGAGCTGACATACACCACAATCAAGGCTGGTTATGTATTTTTTTGTTTGTTTGTTTGACTATTTATTTGTTTGTTTGTTTGTTTGTTTGTTTTTCTGCATATTTGTTTTTTTGTCTGTCTGTTTGTTTATTTGTTATTCAATGGCGTCAGCAGCTTTAGGCCATGATGCAGCCTAGGTCTATAAGTGTTTTTGTTTATGGTTTCCTCCGGAAAGCTGTGCATCGCAGGGGCATCTTTAGGGCTGCGCCATCACCTCCCAGGGCTTTCTGCAGCCCTGCGGGGCTCCCTGCGGCAGAGCAATCGGCCGCCACTCGCATGGGGCCATCCATCATCGTCGCTCTTTGTGAGTGACGTGCTGAGACCTCCCCCCGGGGGAGTTTTCTCGGAGATGCCCATTGCTTTAATGACACACAGTGCTTCCCGGTGGATGGTACATTAACTTGCTCTCGAAACAGGCGAGGCACGAGCTGGGGGGGGGGGGGGGGTAGCTGACTGAGTGGAGACCGGCTGCGTGCTTTGGGCTGTGCTTAATCTGACGAGAGACTCCGGAATGCTCAGACCCAGCACTGAAGCCCATTACTTTGCAATTGAACACGGCAAACAGTACATAAATAGACAAAAATAAGATTAGCGATAATGTTCTTCATTACTATAGCATATGCTGCCACATATGCTGATTAAGACAATTTTCTGATAACGTATTGCAGTCCCTTGTAGGTCTGAACATCGTACAGGATTACTTTGCCAGCCCTGGATGGTGACAGTGCAAGAACAGAAACTTGGATAGTTAGATTTGCATGTTCTCTCGGATGCCGGGGGTGTTAGATTAAGCCACAGCTACTACCTGAGCTTCTGATATGGCATTTTAGAGCAACAAGCCCAACCTCCATTCACACACCTGACAACTGGGAACGTGGCATGTCAGCCACTGAGGGTGGTCTTATTGAATGACACGGTCTGGAAAGTAGGATGGTGCGGAGAGCATCGCATATCGATGTCATACACTGCGGGAAGTGCGATTGCGGACAGGTTTCCAGCAGACCGTGAATCCCGGGGTCAGAGCACTCATGCTCATATGCAGTGATGCGAGTAATCAGACCTGGATTGGATTGGCACATAGATAAGGGGTGATGTTCCTCATTAATGTTCCCGGCCTGCTGTTAGATCGCTGCCCTTTTCCTGCACCTCCCCCTTCAGGACGGCCTCTGCGGGTGCAGTCCAGGTGAGATTTGGGGTTTTAATGGACTGAAAGGATCTCCGAGACCTAATCCTCGGATGAGTGAAGTGTCATTTGGATTTCTCCGTGCGTACCTGCTTTTTATTTGCTTTTCTTCCACCCACCTATCATCGGTGTGAAATTAGATCTCGGCCATGGGCTGTTTGTAGAGCAGGGGTTTCATGAAGGGGCTCACCGATCATCGCACGTGTGTGTGTGTGTGTGTGTGTGTGCGTGTGTGTGTATATGTCTCTGTGCACACGTGTGTGTGACCCTGGCACGCCTCACTCGGTGGCACCGCGACCCGAGGGGAAGCGCCGCCCCGAACTGTGCATTTTCACGCTCGCTATATTATTTACCAAGTTGAGCTCCAGGCGTAAGTGCAGCAGCGAGGAAATGCGATGTTGCATTATCACTCGTGTGGACTGGCGTGTACGAAGCCGGGACTGCAATAAAGCGCTCTGAGAGGTCAAGGCTGCCCTGCTTATCTGTAGGCAGGTGACGTGGAAGCGACATGGGGGCCCTGTCCAAAGCAAACCCCCTTTCAGGAAGCCTCCGGGAACCAAGCTCTAAGTCTTTCAGTTAAATGGTTCAGGGCTTCCCGTTTAGCTCGAGGTCTCATCATTCAAGTTAACGTGGCAGGTGAACAAATGAACTTAAATCAGCAACTTCCTCTCTTCTTGTGGCCATGGTAGTCTGTGTAAAATGAGGAATATCTATCTGGTTTTGTTAAACTTGACTGCAGCAAGACTCACACCTATTCAGAACAGAGCCGGGGATAGTTACTCAACTCGATTACACATTACTTATGAGGTTTGTGTTCAAAATTGGTGACAGTCCTTACAAAGTGAAGCCATAATGGGGATGGGAATAGTGTTACTATGATAATGGGCTTCTTTTTACAGCAGTGGAAGTCACATGGCATCACAGATAGCACCTTACCTAGCAAACTTATCACTAAACAAAAGGTTACTACCATAAACTACTACTTTCGGTCTTATTTGGACGTTTTCTCAATCGCTCAGCTGACCCTATTAAGGCTGGATCAGGCAAGTACAACAGCTCACTGCAAACTTTTAGAGATTTAGTTGTTAAGAGTACCACCGCATTCACATTGCTGTAGTCAGAAGATCGAGTCCGTGGGAATCAATCTTAGGGGTTACTCTAGTGTCTCATTTCCCCTCCCCAGATGGCAAAGCCTGCCCCGCCGACGAGTACCAGTGCCGTAACCGCAAATGCATTGCACCTGAGTTCCTGTGCAATGGCGCTGACGACTGCGGTGACGGCAGCGACGAGGAGAAGTGCTCGGCGTCCACCTGTGGGCCGCACGAGTTCCGCTGCAACAGCTCAGAGTGCGTGCCGCGCCCGTGGAGCTGTGATGGCGATGCCGACTGCACTGACGGCTCGGACGAGACCGTGGAACGCTGCGGCCGGCGCACCGAGCCCCAAAAACCACGCTGCCCCAACGGGGAGTTCCAGTGCGGCAGCGGCGAGTGCGTCCATCTCAGTTGGAAATGCGACGGAGATGCCGACTGCAAGGACAAATCCGACGAGGCCAACTGCGGTAAGGATGTGCGTGACAGGGTTCAGGTTCGAGCTGTGCTGATCTGTGCTAATCTGTGCTAATGTACCAAGCTTTGTCAAACTATGCCGAGCTGTGGTAATGTATCAAGCTGTGCCAAACAATGCCGAGCTGTGCCAAACTGTGCTACTGTAGTAAGCTGTGCCAAACTGTGCTAATGTACCAAGCTGTGCCAAACTATGCCGAGCTGTGCCAGCTTTGTTACGGCAGCCTTATTACCTCGCTGTTTGCATTAGATTGTTCGCCCTGCCCATTCTCTCAGGTTACTGCCTCGGGATTTTTCCTTTTTGTCTGCAGTGTTTATCTAGAAGCATGAACCTCACAGGCAGTCGGCTCTGTCTACGCTTTTGTGGAAATCGTCTCCTGAATTCAAACGCTCAACGTCTCATCTATTATCTGACAAGTTGTAATGAGAGAATAAAGGGTTTTTCTTCCTCTTTGAGTAGCTGTATCTGAGGACGAAATATAGATTTTTTTTCCCCTTGTACAAATGCATCGTGGGTGGCTTTGTGTTGCCCGTGTCATTGTAATATACGCTATTTTTGGATGTTTCGCCGTTTACCTGTGAGGGAGGTCTGGCTATACATACAATATATACACACACACACACACACACACACACACAAACACACACACATAAAGCTTCTAAAATTCACAAAATAGAGATGTTGCTTTTGCCTATGCAGGATATTTCATTTTAGCAAAAGATCATATTCTGTTGTAAGTGTAATAATTGATTCAGTAGTGTGATTTACTGAGAGAGGGACCAGTGAATTTCTCAGATTTCCCACTTCTGATTGAATGAGGCTCACCGTCTTTCTTACTGTGATGATTCACTGAACTGGTGAAGTGTCTAGGTGTCCAGGTTCACGCTGGTTCACTTAACGCCATGTCTGTAAAGTGTGAACGGTAAACAAAGAAGCGAGCAACAATTCACAAGTGGAAAAATCGGTGTGATACAGAACTAATGGTGCAGTCTGGATGAATTAGTGGCCACCTCACGGAGACATTTATAAATGGTTCGATTTCAGCCCTTGTCTTGTTGAATACGGAGTGTATTGATTTCCCAGTTGTCGGTAGGGGTGTTTTAAATTAAAAATGTATTTTGCTATGAAATTGCCGTTAAACACGTTCCGCTGTGGCGGCGAACCGAGAAGATGCGCCCTTGAATGTCTCGCGCCTGTCACTGGGGTTTCCTAGCAACCATGACACGCTGTGGTGTATCCGCGCAGCCTCGAACCCGAGGTCGGTACTCCGCCGCTGCCGCCATTGTCCCTGCAGGTGACCAGAAAAAAGGGCCGTACTGGAGTACTGGTGAGATCTTTTACGCAGTTGTATAGCCCTTTGTTCATTGAGCCATTTTAAAACAGAGGACGCCCTGTCTGTGACTAGAGCATGCGCTGATATATTTCTATATTTCTTATTAAATGCAAATGTTACACCAAGATGCATGAGGGATAAAGCAATTATGTGAAGTGTTGTAGTTCTTCGACGGATCGAGCGCAGGGCCGGACGGGCACTCCCTCGGAAATGAGGCATCTGAAAGCCATTCATCACCGGGGCTTAACGTTTCCTCCCCAGTCAGCGGCACGCCGTAATTTTGCATGGATTTGAGAGGGTAATCATTTATTTCCGTTGCTTATCGTGTGTGCGACGCTGCCTTCCAGAGGCGGAATGAAATCGCGATATCCGCTTCTTCACTGTCTTCTTGGGTGAGCCCTGTGATCGCGTTTGGGCCGGAAAGCGAAACCCTCCCAACTGGACGGAGATCGATTTGAAAATGTCCCGAGTCAATATTTAACGGCGCTGCAAGACAACAAGCAGCAGACAGATGTATCAAAGAAGAATTTATTGTATTGGGCAGACAGTCGGATAACTAATAACTAACTGTAAAATTGTAAATGTATATATTCTTTTTTATTTTTTATTGTGTCTGTGTATGAATTCCACCCCCCCCCATAATTATGCCTGTGCGTGTGTGTGTATATATATATGATGTTGTTATGAATGGTAATATAACATGCAGCATGCTGACCCCTATGGTAACCCAAAGGCCACGCCCCTTTCCGTCACCCCACCTCTGACTGACTCCTCGTTTGCTGTCTTGCCGCTGCAGCCGTGCCCACGTGCCGCCCGGACGAGTTCCAGTGCGGCGACGGATCCTGCGTCCACGGCACCAAGCAGTGCGACCGGGTGCACGACTGCTCCGACTACAGCGACGAGGTCGGATGTGTCAATGGTGGGTCGCCGCTCCGCCTCTCTTCTGCCTCATTATGGGCTGAGATCTCCCCTCTCTCCCTTCGTAACTGTGTATCCAGATCAGCTGATGTCTGGGCCACGACCAGACAAGGCCGACCATGAAGAGTTAAAGCCATTGGACCATGCATGTTAATTAATAATTCAAATGAGGGCGGGCTCAGGCAGACTCGTTATTTAATTGTCAATTAAGTGTGGAGGCCGAGTAACGAATTAAACTCACCGTTCCAGGTCCCACTTGACCCGAGTGAATTGAGTTTTTTTTTTTTAATCTGACTTTCCCGGGCAAAGTAATAAAACACCTATTTTATTTTGCCCCCCACCGCACTCCCTAGCGACCAAGTGTGAAGGACCTCTGAAGTTCATGTGTAGGAACGGCGAGTGTGTCGACAGCGGCAGGGTGTGCGACTCCCACAGGGACTGCAAGGACTGGTCGGACGAGCCTCTGGAGTGCGGTAAAGACATCTGCTTTCACATCTGGAGGATGGATGTATGATCGCGTTTCTCAGCCCAGTCCTCCGGGACACACACACTCCACTCGTTACTCCCTCCCAGCTCCCTGCCAGGTACTTGGTGTTCTTGACTGGATGGGAGCTCTGAGGGAGTAAAGTGAGAAGCACTGATTTGGGGTGTTGGGGGATCCGCTGTGTTTGTGGAGAGCGACTCAGATTGGCCAACATGATAGGAGGATGCCCCCCCCCCCCCCCCAGTTTGTAGACAACAGCACAAGACTTTGGGTACATTAGTGTGTTAGGTAAGGACCATGCACTGATACAGCGCGTTGCTGCACCCACCACACGACAAACCATCTCAGGGATGAGAACCTATAAATTGGAGCACCTTTTTATAGATTAACATCATGCCCAGGATGAAGCAATTGCAGATGAACGGCATTGCTTAAGGGCCCAATGGAGTAGCATCACTCTGGGCATTCATGGGATTTGAACCAGCAACCTTCCAGTTGGTAGCGCAGATCCCTAGCCTCAGAGCCATCAGTTTATTAAATTAAAATGTAAAAGCCCTTCCATCTCCTTGGAGGTACAGAGATCATACATAACCTCTTATCCAGAACAGGGTCATGGTGAGCTTGGAGCCTATCCCAGTAACCATAGGGCATGAGACAGAGGACATGCTGGACGGGATGTCAGACCATCACAGGGCAACTCAAGAATGTCAGTGCTGTTGGGGAAGGTGTGTGGCTCAGCGGGATGGGATGCCATGCTTGCCATCAGATGGTTGTCGGTTTGAATCCCGTGGTGGGCTGAGTGATCTGCCCAGATGCTCTGAGGACTCTCTCTCCCTGTTTTCTCAGAAATGTATGCCACTGTGGCTAAAAGCATATGCTAAATAAATTACATGTAAGAAGGATGGTGTAGTGGGTTTTATTATGGGATTAGCATGTAGGGTGAGATCTTGGGATTGGTTACTTCCAATCTGACATCCCAGAGCCGAACAGCTCAGATGAGCAGAGGTCTCATCTTTGTCTTTTTGTGTTGCGCTGGGTGAATGTGTGTTATTACATGCTGTACAACAGACACGATCTGTATCTGGTTCTGAATCACTGTAACCTGAATTGAATAAGTGCATACATATAGATGGATTTTTTATTACTGTAATCCTTTCATTCATCCATCTGCTTCTGGGTCACGCTTATGATGGCGGGATGACAACAATGGATTTGCATAGAGATCCGAGTCATTTTGCGAGCAATCAGCGTTACGGAATGGCGCTCTAAGAGGCTGGGTCTTCGAAAGGGCACGACTGCCACTCGCTCGAGTGGAATTCGTAATAAATCGCGCCAGCGGATGCGTGCCTGCGGATGCGTGCCTGCGGATGCGTGCCTGCGCATGCGGCTAAGCTGTGAGGTTTAAGAATGTATTCGCGGCATTAGCTGCGCTAGCATGACTGCGCAGACCGGTCATGGGACAAATGCAGATGCAGCAATGATAATATTAATGCAAGAAATGAAGTAATTAAGTAAGTAATGATGATAGCGGTGATGTTTATTTGAGGGCGGTTACAGTGGTCCACAGCTCACCCTCTCCCTGTCAGCATCGTCTGACCTCAGCAGCTCTACACGTTCTGTTGAAAGTGTTTCTTTGTGCTTTTAGATGGATGGACTTGTTAAATTCTGGGGGTGGGGGGGACTGACCTCGTATGTCATCAGCTGGGTGGGGAGGGTCAGTAAGTCCCTCTCCCGGAAACCCATGACCATGCACTGACATTGCATTGCCGATTGGTTAAAACACCGATTCTACAGTCCACAAGTCTTGCGCAAAGTTGCTCTGTGGCTCTATTAATGATATCATCGCTTCTGAAAATCAGGTCCAATCATTCGTCTCTGTTTTGACAAATATTTATTCAGTGAGACCGAAATAGAAATGTCTGGTCTTCACAGTCTTTGATCTTGCGCTTTTTCTGTGTATTAAGGTTATTTATTGCCGTCTCCGTCTGGCGGTATTTGCATGCCATGCTCTGAGATTAGCATTAAGGCGATTAATCACATTAACTAGGCTGCCAGTCCAGTCCTGTGGCCACTGCTTTCATTCCATTTGTCTGTTTGTGGTGAGGTTGGCCCCGGGGGGGGGGGTTGGGGGTTTAAGGTTTAATGTTACACAGGTGCCCCGCTTTAAACATTGGAGCACATGAACGTGCCACAGATGCTGACATGCATTTTAAATGAAGCATTTCAGATACAGTCATGTTGATGTCCTTCACAGGGGTCTTTTCACATGCCTATAATTAGTTGGCACAGCGTGGTAATAAGACATGAATTGGGTGGCTTCGTGTCTGTGCATGTTGTGACCCCCCCCACCCCCCCCCCCCCCCCCCCCCCCCCCCCCC